CTCAGCAGGGATTGCTTACATTATTGGAATGCATATCGTGGAATAATTTTCCTATTTTTTTCTTTCAAAGGATAATAGAAGTGAGCAGGATGTCAGCTTTTCATCTAACAGAGGCTAAATTAATGCAATTTTCATAATGGACATATTGATTTTCTAAAAGCTTATTAATATGGAATATGACATGCTTTATGCCTTGAAGATTGAAAGCAAATGTTGAGAAGCTTGCACTGTTAGTGACACATAATTAGGATGGCATGAATAAGTCAGTTAATGTGAACCCAAAATTGCTAAGCAGTTAATTCAAAGCTGGTTGGGAACTTCATATGTCATTCCTCAGAATGCTTTTGTTCTATTTGTTCAAGATTGGCTTGCTTTTACTACATAGCTTGCTTGAGAGGCAGGACCTGTGAATGACCATAAGCATAAGAAGGTTAAGTGCTGGGGTGGCAGTGTGGAATATTGTTTAGGACATTGGAGTTGTGTGTTCAAATCACAAGGGGGTACACAGCTCCTTACCCTTAAGCAAGGAAATTTACCCATATTGCTCTAGTAAACCCAGCTGTATGAATGGATATTAATATTTGATTTTGAAAAAAGGTCATTGGAATCACTAATCACTTTGAGTACAAGCTTGGCCAAAAGACAGATAATTGTCTTTTCATAGGATCAAACAATTATGTTATGATAGACATATAAGGTGAGTTCTGTCTTCAATTAATTTTAGACCCATTCTGTATATCAATCTGGCTGACTCTAAACATAATTTTACACGCTGTACATTAAATTATATCCAGCCTTAACTATACATTATCATTTAAAAATTAACATTTTTGTAGTGACATTTAAAAAAGAGTTTATAAATGTGTTACACTGCAATTGACATGATGTAGTTAATCTTTTTTTAATATAAATTGTTCCATCTTAAAATGAAAATGCTATGTAGCATTATTGTCTACATAAGGCAGCATTTAGGAGCAAAGTGAATGATGAATTTAGCTACATACAGTATTATGCCACTGTACTACAGTTCGTCAGCAGTTTGTAATGGCTCCTGGAAACCTTTTGTAGATTCTCTGCTTTTGCCTTACATTCTGAGTGTCTCATGAGTTCTTCCCTGGATTGTGATTTATTGGTGTCAGGCTGCAAGTAAGTATGCTGCTCTCTTTTGTGACAGAAAAGAACTTTAGATTTAAGATGTCACAGTGGTGACAAATAGCTGCAAGTTTAAGGCTCACCCAGTGACACTATCTGTCATGGTTCCCTCTGATGGAGTACATAGATGGTAGTGTAGATAAAATTATACCAAATTATTTTTACATCACTATTCTAAATGGAGCAGATCCATGTGTATTTTTTTGGGATGAGAAAAATAAAGCTCTGTTACACAGATGTACCACCAACTGTTTTCACAACTCAATATCAGGAAATATTAGGAAATCCACACAATTTAGGATTGAACATAACATTTCTCTTTTTGTTCAGCTATTAATAGCAAACTAATAAGTAATTAAAAGTAGAGTGTTATGAATGACCAAAAACTAGACCTGAAAAATACCCACTTGTCGATCAATACAATTCTTATAGTGTTAAGGTGCTCAAAGATTTTTGAAGTACTGATGCTTTGACCCTGCTTGCTAGACTTTCGTGACAGACATGAGAGCCAAGGAACATTTTAGGTTGTTGCTAAGCAACCTTCAACATCAAGCAAGGGCACAGGCGTTGCAACAATTGTTCTGTCTAACATGTTTTTAAGGAAACAAGACATACATTTTAAACAGGATTCCCTTGATGGTAAACTGACATTTTATGCCTTCACCTGTGAAAATCAATGTATTATATATTTAGATATAATTTGACTAAGCCTGCTTACACTGAGAGTTGGTTATAATGTTTTGAACACACTTTACTGCTGTCTTGTGCTGGGCTGGTGAGCACAAATGAATTTTATTCCCACATCTGATGTTACACGTCTTCAGAGTCCCTCAAAGGGAAATTGTTTTGCAGAATGTATTCCAATTTTTAAAGCATACATAAGCAGATCATTTTCTCTCCTGAGCATAGTGTTGTTGTTGTTGTTTTTTACTAATGAAATAGCTGATGTTGCATGAACCATAACCCTAATGAGAAGTGATAATTTAGGTCAAGCTGTGAGCTGGATCAGCTTAAGATCAATTATATATCTTTAACCTCACACAAATTATTTCTTAATACACTGTATAGTACCTCTGATATTTGCAGCCACAGCATGTTTATACTATTTCTGACTCATAAAGAACTTCATGTTAAAGGGTTAGTAAGAGTGAGAATAAACACATTTTAGTTCAGGTTTTATTATGAATATTAAATGCAATTTCATGAATTATGTCAAATTAAATTAATCAATCTTGCTTACAATTACAAAAAGAAGGTTCAGGTTTTGTAAATCCTTAAAAACCAATACCATCTAAGAAACACTCACCTCAGACTTCCTTAGCTATACTATTGTGAAAAAAAAAACATTTATTTTGTCAGATTTTGTATTTCACTGAATATGTACAGTCAAAAACAATTGCACACCTTATGTTCTCTTGGTTCATATTCTTATATATATATATATTTGTATTATATATTTTAGACATAAAATGTCCTAACAGTAAGAATGCTTAATAAAAGGTGAAGGTAATCTGATTAAACATATAACACAATATATATCTGGATTATAGAATTAACAAAATTATCCAATAATAAATATACTTGTGTGAAAAAATAGTACATTTTTAGCTTAAGTAACTGGTAAATTTCAACTAGATGTTGATTATCAGTCTCTCGCAATGCTTTTCATTATTGTCTTACTGCATGACCATCATTCAGCTGACAAATGGATGGCCTGGCATTATCCTCCAGAATCTGCCATATTCATGGTTCAGTCAATGATGGCAAGCCACCTGGGTCTTGTGGAATCAAAGCAACCCCAATCTCTGGTACTCACACCACCATGCTTGATAGTTGGGATGGGTTCTTTTGTTGAAAGGCTGTGTTTGGCTTTTGCCAAATGTTTAGATACTAAATTGTGCCGAGGAAAAGTCTTCACTCCCGAATATTTTTATTTTTTTAAATGAAAATAGATTAAAATAAAAAACAAATATTCAATTTCATCTTAAACCTAAAATGTACAAGAATACAGACCAAACTTGTAGGTTCTCAGTCTTTTTCTCAGCATTATATTAAGCCAGACTAGCTAATGGCTGTGGGGCTTTTATGAACATTGTTGTTAGATCTTTATGTCAGACTTTGCTCCTGAGCTGTTGAAAACACCACTGTAGCAGCCATTAACAACTAGTCTAACAACACTATGTCTTCCAAAAAAACTGTCCCAGTCATAGCTAATTATCTGGAAATTTAAATTCCAAACACAATCTGGAACCTATTTGTGTTGTTAATGCTTTTGTCTCCATTCATTTCCTGTAAGGTGTTTTCCTGACCATGAAATTAATTTATATATACCAACTGTATATAAAATATTTAAAAATATGTATATATATATTTATATATCCCTTTATTTGTATACCAAACTGTTTTTCATTCATCCAAGTCCTGTGATACAACTTTTACTTACATTTTTAGACTTATGCATATGATCTGCTTAATTTTCTGATTAAACATGCATCCAGTATCATGTTCATCCTACTTCTCTCTTACTGAGGATGAATTGTCCTTTGTGATGTTTGGTAAAATTGGCCAATGGATGAAGCAGAGAGAAAATTAAATTGAGGTTACCACACTGTTTAATCTTACTCCAAAGTTTGAAATTCTAATTAATCAAAGTTAAAGAGAGGAAACAAGAGTTCGTACAGTGAGTAGATATTTAGAAGTGTTTTGTTGGCTATTAGATTTTATGTTCTTAATTGTTAAACTTCTGTTTTGAAACTATCATTATGTCTTTCTGCTATTTTATGGTAAGTATAATCTTATAACTGTATTACAAAGATAATGTTATGAAAACTTTAAAGATTTGTATTTTGTACCGTATAAGATGCTTAATACTGGTTAACATTAAAAAAAACATGAACCAGAGCAGAGAACACAATTTGAAACTTTAGGGATGCTCATTTATAACTAAGAGCAAGAAACACTTTTTTATACAAATTGTTGTCTGAGTTTGAAACAAGCATATTGTTGTTGAAGCTGATACCCTGGCTTCTTTCAAGAAACAGCTGAATGAGATCCTAGCTGTTTGCCACTAGCAACCAAACAAGCCTGATGGGCTGAGTGATCCCCTTCTTATTTGTAATCTTACTGAACTTCCTATGGTTAAACACAGAGATACTGACTGAGTTGGACTGTAGCATTAAGCATTAAGTTCCTTTAAATGAATTTCTTGTTCTTTGTTTTGATTGTGATGTTTAAAAACAGACATAAAATAAGTACAGTGTACAGTAAATTATAAACAAAATTTAAGGATTAGGTACAAATCTCAAAACCTGTCAGTAGCAAATTTCAACCTGGGTCATTTTCATGCACTGAGAACATTAACTTTAGAAGAGAAGCATTTTGGTGAAGTTATACACTTGTATGGAAAAAGAGTGACCGGTTTATTTAAAATTCAATGATAATTCATGAGTAAAGACTATTAATATATAGCTTACCCTAGTTTAACATTAGGTTGTGTGAAAGTATACTTTCAAGTACCTTTCCTCTGTTACTTACAGTATGCTTTTATTCTGGCTGCTCAATGAAGCAAAAGTATAGCATATGAGAAAAAGAAGATTTAGAGTTGGGAAACCAAGGCATAACTAGGACCAGCTGGGATCCTTTGTCACAAGATGCACACTATTAATCCAGCATACAGAATACTCAGATAAATAAATCCCAGACCAATACTGTATACATTCTGTATTTTTATGTATTGAAATAAGATATATTTTCCAGTAGACAAAAAATGCATTGTTTGGAAAGGTCAGTATTTAAACTTGATTTTTATCAATAAAACAATTTTGGCCTATTTTTTTTCGTTTCAACAGTTGTACAGCTCTTTGGACTTTGGACGAAAATGGCAACTGGTTCATGAGCATGTGACTCCAAACAGATTTTACTGGTGAGTCTGAAACATTGCATTATTGTTGTGTTGTATTGTATAGAGTCGGTGGTCCTATTTTCATTCTTTCCTTATTTTAACAGATCTTTTGAACTGTTTACTTGCTTTTTCAAATTCAAATGTTCTCTGAGTGTTTATACAGGAAATCTAAATACCAACCATTTTCAGTATACCTGTCATGGGGAGTGTCATAGCATGTGTAAACCAAGTATATGACTTGAATAATGTTTTTTTTTCTCCACTCACGGGGTTACAAAAAGTATTAGTGTCAAGGAAAAAATGTCACTGTAAAAACATCAGAGTTCCAACATTTACAGTTATAGTCAGTGCCTCTGTAGCATTGCTTAGTACATTACAGAGAATATTTCTGAGATATACTGCATGCTGGCTTTTTGTTTGTCTTTTAAATTGCTCAACACATTTTCTAGAAGATGTAAGTGTTGTGTCACCTATTTTTTTCATGAGTCGCATTTTTAGCTCAGTGTTTTCCATTTTGTATTTATAGTTAAGGTGTTTATTACAGTACCTGCATGCAAAACTGAGCACTTGTTCACATTAAACACATTGCCAGATGTTTGCCAAGTCTTGATATTAATTAAATCCTTCTGAATTTCATTTCTTCCATACAGTTTGCTAATAATCCTAATTTGGTATCATGTGAAAACATTATGAGTTTATTACCAATTCTAGAATCTACATAATGCTTAAAAATTAAGAGCAATGGTACTACTACAAATTTCTGATATTCCACTAATTACTGTACATCACTCCAATTTGAGCATTCACCCTTTATTTTGTATTTCATAACCAATTCTCAATCCAATCATGTGGAAAAACATTTATAAAAGAACTTTAGCAAAAGCCTTTTGAAAATCTACCGTAACACATGCCCTGTGTATACAGTATACATCCTGTGTGTGTGGAAACATAATGAACCCATGGATTTCCACCCAACACTGCTGTGTAACTGTAGTAAGCGTTTTTCCACAGAATGTTAAACAGAGAATGGTAAATAATCACAATGATCTTTGAAAAGCTTCTGTGATGGAAACCACATTCCTGACTGGGTGCCCCTGGGATGCTTCTGCAGGAAGAAGCCATTTTGACTCTTGTGTGAATCAAGAATTGTGAGTCAAATGGAGATTGAGAGCCCAACACATAGAACAGGTGTAGACTGGGATGATTAGACTCAGTTGGTAAATAAACGAGGTGGAACAGAGCAGAATTTCTCATTGAGGAAAAGACTGGTGGAATTAAAGACAAAGAAGAGGTATGTGACTGAAAGAGTTCTATTTAAACAGTTATTATTGATTAAATATTTTGTGGTTTGGAAATAGTCCAGCCTCACTTCTACTTTGGGAAATATTTAGTAAAAGTGTAGTTAGAACTTACTGTAGTTAGAACAATATGGAGTTCGATTTTTTTTTTCCGTTTTGAAAGGAAGGGGATTTGTCAGTTTGTTGAAAGGAAACAGATTGACTCCTGGACTAACGAACACTTTATTCATTGGCCATCTGACACTTTATTGTAGTGTAGGTGCATTGATGATTTCCTGAGGTGCTTCTGAGATTTTTTGTGTGAGGCTTGAGTGTATGATTTGTATGAGCAGATAATTTAACCAGCCATTTGAGCATGGCTATCATTAAATATCTAGTTTTTTTCAGTATGCCTAGAAATGAAAGAAATAATCTTACTCAGTTATGTTAGGTATGACTGCCTTCCATTTTCATTAATTACCTCCAGTCTTGTTTAGTTTCTGAAACACTGTACTTCAACAGTATTCTGTAGACATAGCTCTGGTTAGTGTTCTACATTATTCATACAAGAAAGTTATTGAGAAAAAAATTAAAGATTTATGATATGCATTTGGGGTCCAAATGAAAAGAGAGAAGCAGTGTACAAGACAAATCAATAAAAATGGATTAAGCTGTTCGGTGTAACTCAGCTCTGCATAGCAAGTGTGTTTCTAATTGACAATACAATAAATGTGTTTGCCAGTGTACTCTGGTCATATGCTTTTCATATGCTAAAGGAATTCATGGTGCTTTTCCAGGGTCCCCAGGGCCATCGATCCCTCAAGCTTCTATTACAGTTGTTGACAGCTTTCCTGGTGAGAGGTTAAGTCTTTATCAGGCTGTAATGTCAAACTGTTGTATATGATGTGGCAATATGATTCAGTGCTCCATGTCTGAGTGTATCAATCCCTAGTTTAGTTTTGAGTCCCCAGAGCTAGAACAGCAGACACTGGATCTGAAACCTCCAACAAGTCTTTTACTTTTTATTATAGTTTAGCAGAAATCCAAAGTCATCTTTTTTGTCAGAATTGGATTGTATTTTTAATTGTCCCACCTATTTCATGGTTTCATGGTTTACATAAAACTATTTTTACTGAGGAAGTCTCCTGATATGATATAGAATACTTACATGAAGGGGATACATATGAGGCACTGGTTATTTTATTTTTAAGGAAAGTCTTGTAGTGAACTCTTAAATCACTTTAATCACATTAAATCTCAAACTTTACAATACACACGTAAGACATTTAGAATATTGTGTTTAGTTCTGATAACCATATCACTAAAACAAATTACAGTGTGAGAGTTCAAAGATGAGCAATAACACGGTCCATGGTGTAGCTGCAATGCTTATTAATAAGACACAGAATTAAGTGTTGTGGTCCCAGCCTCAGAAGAATGTGCTGGAATGTAGGGGAGATGAGGTTGTCTTTTTAAGCACCATCTTCCAGGACAATGACACCAACCAGTATTTGCACTTCCCACAATGGATGTCCACCCCAGGCGCTAGTATGTCTGGCAGAGAGCCATAGGCATACTGTATCTATGCATGCTGGTCTTCAGGTCACAGGTTGTGGCCAAGCATCCAAAAGATGACCAACCAACCAGGCAATTTTAGGGCATATAGACCCACTCCATTTGGTGACTTCTTAACAATCACCCACTGTCTTTTCTCCACTTAAAAAGCGGTGCACATGTCTTCTAACTTTGCTTCTCTCTGTTGAACCAAGTTGGCTGGCTGATAACATAACCAAATTACTGCCACAAGTGCTGTCTAAGCTTTGGGTCTTAAACTGCCTTCTGAATTCTGAACTGAAAAGGTCTAGTTTGCAGCCAGGACCTCATGAGAAGCTAGCTACCATCACGTACTATATATACCTGATTAGCAGAGCAATATGGTTGGACTTTCATCGACACGCCTGAATATCAGACTTTGTCCTAGTTCAACTGAGTGCTAACTAGTGATTTAATTTACACATTTTATGTATTGATACATTTATTCCATGTATTGTGAATCTGTGTGAAGACTGCTTGTTATATGTTGACTAATTCCTTATAGCTAAGGTAAACTCACACATTATAGAGTAATAATTAAAATTGTGCCAGTAAATTTACACAACTCCTACACTGAAGATTATCATATACAAATGAAGAATTAAATCCTTTCAGTCTAGAACTGTTTGAGAGGAGATGTGGTCCAACAGTTATAGATAGAGGCAATAGGGACTATTTTAGAGTTAGAAAACAAGAACAAGGGGACATAATGGAAAATGTCATGTGACTAGGGCCTTAAACTTGGGCTCCTTCAAGAAGTGACTGATGAAATTAAATTTTAGATTCATTTAACTACAACCTATGTGGCCTCCTCTCATTTGCATCCTTAGATTAGATTAAATAAAAGAAAACACCATTAAATTAATTTTTGTTCCATTTTTGAAAAAAAGCAAAGAAAAATTTGTTGTACTTTCTTCACCATTCAAGTGGTTAAGAAACTGTCCAACACAGATTTTGCTAGCCATCTGCTGATTGAACAGTATGAGAAAGCTATAAGCGGTGCTCCGATCTGTGGCCATGCAGTACGTAGGACAAACGTATTTTCCACTTCTAAAATGATGAATAGATGTATGATACAAAATGATTTGCCATGCTGTGGTTTAAATCCATAAATATCAAGTGTATGTATTACATTCAATAAGGATGAATTTACATTGTTTTTACATCTGTTGGATCAATCATCAATACAGTTCTAAACTGAAGCAGACCAAACTACATTAAATGGTATTTTTTCTGTGACTTGTACATCTCTCACCTGTATATTTCCCCTATGATTGGGTGCTTTAGGACAATTTTCAAGCCATTACTTTAAATAGGTACTTTCAATATTCAGTAACTTTCCCTCAAATAAAAAAAATATAGTTATCTAAAGGTTAATATTAATAATGATGAAAACTGAACAGAAGTGAAATGAATAGATTGTTTAAATGATATTTATCAAAAATGAGTTTGCTTGAGTTGTTTTTTTTTTTCCAGTAGCTTACTGATCTGAGGATCTCACCAAGCTATTTCTTGTAGAAAGCCAGGGTATCAGCTTCAAAAACATTGTAATTGAGTGTAAAGTGGATTCATATTCTTGGTGTAAATACTCAGAAACCTTTGTAAAGAAGCGCCTCTTATTCTCAGTTTTAAATGCACTTCTACTTATTTCCACTTTTGTACTCATCTTTATGTTTCACTGTTTTGAAGCAGTCTATGCTAAAGACAAAACAGTCTTCAAAGAGAACACTCCACTCTTTCAACACTTACTCCGAAAACCCAATTTAGTCTAGAATGAAAGGCCATACAGTATTTGCTGTGTATAATGGCCGTATTAAAAATGGCTACAAGCAGACCGTATTACACAATACCCATCTACTTATCCCCAACTAATGATCTTTGTAGAGGTGTTAATTAGCTTTAGAATGATTAATTCCCTGCAATGATATACTGTATATTCAATTTTAGCAAAAAAATACAGTTTAGATGCCTTATGGTAGCCCACAAGTTTAAAGATTAAGGTAACAGTTTAAACATCTTATCAGAGTATATTTACCATCAACTCATATATAATTCTATAAAAGGCAGAATAAGAAATCTTTGTCGGTTCTCTATCATGAAGTGTTGCAACTAGATGAAACCTGGTTAATATGCATATGTTTAATGTAAAAT